GAGAGAGAGAAAGAGAGAACCCAACACATTTTAGGCCAAATGAAGCATGAAAAATACTCAAAAGACTTAAACAAGCATTAGTAGTTCTTTCCTTTGTAGGGAAGCTGTCTGTAAGTTTTGAACTTCAAGACTGATTTGGATCCTGTTCTTCCTGAGACAGTTTTCCAGACAAACCCAGCTGTTCTGGGGAGGAACCCAGTGGAAGTATCAAGTCCCCTTTCCTCCAGACCTCCTCTTCAGCCCCAGACCAGAGGCCCCACCTCCACCAGAGTGCCCTACCTAAATGACTCCCCAGGCACCCCACCCCCACCCCAGCCAGCCTGACCCCTTTTACTGGTCAGAGCTCTGACAAAGTCTCCACATTTCTCTCTAAGTTCAGTAAAATAACTTAAAATCAAAGTGACTGATTTTAAATGTTTAGAACCTATCTTCTCTCTCCTGTCTCCTAATTGTGGAAGCCTTGTTTTCAAAAGCCCTTAGACATCACTCTGAGAAACCACCTTCGGAAGGAAAAGGTGCAACAAGTGGTACCTAGTCTCCTTCATTCCTGATTAATAATTAGATACCTCAGGGGTTCCAGGGCTGGTTGGATGGATGGATGGATGGATGGGGTTAGGGAGAGAAGAGAGGGCAATTCTAGAAAGATGGGCATGGTTCCCAGTCAAGGAGGCAAAAAGCTGGAAGAAAACATTGCACTTCTTATTAAAAAAACAAAACAAAAAAAACTCTGAAAAATCTGTCAACCCAGGGCTGTGTAATTTTTAACCAAAATTTCTGTAAGGGACACAAGAGCATCTGTAACGTGGTTGTCATGGCCACAGGACAGGCAGATCAGATTTGGGCTGAAGAGCCACGCGCTGCTAGTGAATGAAAATGCATCCAATTCAGAATCAAATAAACATGCCTGGGATCACAGCCAAAGAAAATTCTTGGATTGGACTTTTATCAGAGACCTAAATTTTAACCAGCTGGAACTTTTTTTTTTTTTTTCCAAGTACCACCCTATTCCTTCCTACCTTTTGAGATGAAGTATTTGCCTTAAATGGGAAATTTGCACTTCACTGTGAAGATGATGCTAGCCTAAATTGCTGAAGGGTGCAGCCTTAAGGGTTAGAGTAGCAATTGTGTTTCTGGTGCAATAGACCAGAGAATGTGTACTCCATTCAGGTAAGGAGGCAACAAATGTCCCTTCCTCCCGACTGCAGGAACAGAAATCTATAGGCCTAGATTCCTAACTCCTTGTTCTATAAACAAGCTTCTTCACCAGCAAAATGAGCCAAGCTGTGAACCTCGACACAACCAACTGGTACAATTAAAGTTACCCATCACAAACCAATCCATTCCACTACCAAGAAGCAAGAGACCCAGGGTAAAAGTGGGGCCTGGCCCCTATGGAAGTTTTACAAATTGTTACTTCTTTGAAAAAAAACCACAGCATTTATTACTCAAAGAGCAACTTTACCTGGCAAGGGCCATGAGATTTTTTTCTAGTGGTTGAGGAAGTGTGCCCGCAACTCATTTCTAAAACACTGAACTGTGTTCAAGATGGTATCAGCCTCTTAATTGCCCCACGAATAATGGAGAGGTTGTGAAACCTGACCACTTAAACCAGGACTTCGAGAGCAGTTCTGAACAATCTGTTAGCAGGGCTGCTGCCTGGCTGTCTGCAGCCACCTTGCAAGTCCTGGGAAAATACCCCACTCCTACTGGGACCAGGGTTCCTGGAGCACATGCTCCCTGGAGATCAAGGAGATCACTCACTCAGCTCTCTCCAGCATCCAGATCCTGCCCCTCCTTCAGGGCTCCATTTTGCACCATGCTTCCCCCCCCCCCCCCCCAGTTCTGAGTGAACCTTGGACCCATAAGAAGCCCTCTCCTGCTTGCATCACATATAGCTCACATTTATTCTTACATGTTTGTGTACAACTAGAATGTGAGCACCCTCAGCTGAGGTTTGCATCTGTAGACTGAGAAGAAAGATCTGGTCAGGGACCCAGACTCAAGTCTCTGAACACCAGGACCTACTTGTCAGGGCTGGCCTGTAAGTATGATCCTCCTAATCTCAGCCTCCCAAGTAGCTAGGATTACAAGGCATATGCCACCCTGCTAGGGAAATCATACCTACAGAGGTGTGGGTAGAAACAGCTTCCTGCAGGAAGTGATGCTGCAGCTCAGAGGGGAAGAGGAAGGGAAAAAGAAAAGGACGAAAGGCAGGAACTGCATGTGCGAAGGCTTGCTGCAGAGAGGACACAAGAGCTAGGTGTTGACATCTCTCCCACAACTTCTGAAAATCTATCACTTACTACAGGATTTTTGCAGGAAGGCTGCAGGGTCTAAGGACTCCAGGCTCTGAGGTCACCAAGAAAACAGTCTAAAGAGACACAATGAGCAAACACCAACCTTAGAGTTGGATGAGAACCAGTCTCAGGAACGTATGAGAAGGTAAGGAATAGGGCATGGCATTCCCAGCGGGCTTTTCTGAAGAGACATCACCTGAGCTGAATCTTGGGTCAAGCAGGGAATCTCAGAGGAGGAAAGGACACCCCAGGAGAAAGGAAAAGCATGCTCTGGTAGCATGAAGGGTATCAGGAGTTAGGGAGGAGAGTGGGAAGGGCACAGGGTGAGAATGAACAGGTGGGCCACCCAAGCATCACGAGCAGACAAGTCCATGAGGGAAGAGCCATGTATCAGGTTGGGAAGAGTTGGAATCTGGGGTATGGCCCAGAGGCCCCCACACTCATCCAGGAACGGGATGATGACCCAAACAAAGGACCCAAACAGGGGCTAAGACAGCAGCCTATGGTGGAAGAAAGATCAGCCTCGGATAGGTGCCGCCATTAATTCCGTGGGGGTGTAGGTGAACAAAACCACCACTTTGGCTTCTTCAAGAGCACTACCACACCCACAGCATGAAAACTTCACAAGCTGTGGGTTCCAGGACACGAAGCCACCTAGACTACTGCAGGAAAGCAGCAAATTGTAAGGCACGGCAGTGCATACCTGAGATGTCAGTACTAGGGAGGCTGAGGCAGGAGTATCGTGGCTTCAAGGCCAGCCTCAGTTATACAGCAAGACCCTGTGTCAAAAGACCATATGAAGAAGCCAGGAACAGATGGCTCACGCCTGTAATCCTAACTACTTGGGAGGCTGAAATTGGGAGGATCATACTTCGAGGCCAGTCCTGGCAAATAGTTATCAAGACTCCCATCTCCAAAATAACCAGCGCAAAATGGACTGGAGGTGTGGCTCAAGTGGTAGACCATCTGCTTTGCAATTGTGAAACCAGTTCCACAAAAAACAAAAGAATGACAGGAGGGTGGGGCGGGGGAGAGAGAGAGAGAGAGAAAAGGAAAGAAGAGAGAAGAGCAGCAAACTGGACTGATCCACCAACGCTATCAGTTACACACAAACTCAGAATAAAATACCTGTGATACTAGTACACTTAGTCAAAAGCCAAAATCAGTCTAGATCCAAAATTTTAGCAGGATTGATGTCAACATGAAATTGCCTTAAGGAAACTCACTATCTATTGAAAATAAAAGAGCTGTGATGTTTTGCTACAGTAGAACAGAGTAAGAATATGTAATGTCTACTCAAATGGGGAGGAGTGATAGTCTAAAGTCGTATTCACTGAGGGGTGGGGCGGGTACAGCTGACCACCCCACAGCTATTGGGAGGAGGACATCCCAGCTGCTCTGGGACACCTGGTTTTCTCAATTGTGCTTCTCTCTAAATGTGAGGCATGTGAACCAGAGGCACTAGCTTGTGCTCCTAAGGAGGTGTCATGTCCTAGGTCTTGTCTGTGCTGAGGCTGGTCAGAGCCTCCCAGAAGAGGTCAACCTTGGTTTAAGCAAACTACTCTACACTCATCCTTGAGCCCTGGGATAATTAGTAAATCTCTCATTTCCTTCCCACTTTCTAGATGAGGAAACTGAGGCTCTTGGCACCTGGGAGAGCCAAAGCCCAGTTCCTGGCTGCCGGAGTGCAAAGCCTGTGTTCTCTGCACAAAGTTTACACCGTGAAAATAGTGACCCAGAAGCTACTTTGGTCTCTGTGGGAGGCAGATGATAAAATCTCCAGATGCCAGGTCGTCCAAGCCCCCGGAGCACAGGTGAGACGGAGGTGGGGGGGTAGGGTGGTGTCCCTAGGCACATTTCCCCCAATACCAATGCCCTACTGCCCAGACCACGTCAAAAGAGCGCCCAGTTCTGAGGCGCGGGCTCCAAGCACCTCCCCAGTCTCGTCTTGTCTGGGGCACCTGGCTGAGGTGACAAACTCTCGATGCCCTTTGGCCAAAAACATTCTCAACTCCAGCTGGGGGCGGGAAGTGGGGGACCAGTAGCATCTATGCCCATTTGGGAGACTGAACGCTAAATAGGAAGCTAAGTTTCTCAACAAGTCAGGAGTCCGAGACAGGGTGGGAGTGGGGTGACGACCCCTGCCTAGAAGGAACAAAGCGACCACTACAGAAGGATGCACCCTTCCCCAACGATGCAGGTTTCCTCCCTGATCACCCCGAGCCTTTGCAGAACTGTGGGCCAGACGTCGGTCGGGGAGGGGGGCAAGTCCTACACTCGTTCCCAAGGGCCGCCTCGTCCAGACAGCTGGGGCTGTGGGATCCCAGCCCAGGACGCACAGCCCCGGGGCAGAGGGCCGGGAACAAAGGGTGGGGCGCACTCCCCCTACCCCGCTTCGCCGCCCCCCTCACACCCGCCCTCTGGAATCGGACCCCGGCCAGCGGCCGTGCCTCATTAGCAACACAAAGCCAGGGGTCGGCGGCCCTTTTCATCCCGGCCGGGGCCGGCGGACGCGAGCCCCAGGAGGGAAGAACCGAGGATGGGCTGGTGGAGATGGGGGACCCCAGTGAGGCTGAGAACTCAGCGGAGAGTAACTCTATCCGCCCAGGCTCGCCGTCCCACGAGCACCTGTGCGCGCCCCGCCGCGCCCCTGCCTCTCCGCGCGCCCCCGACTACTTTGGACACCCGCTGTCCCCGCCTTACCCTCCAGCCACAGGTGTCGGCGCCCCTCGCGCGGCCCGAGCCGCCCGCGGCCACGGCCAGCTGCGAGCCGTTGAGGCAGGCGTTGACAGTGAAGAAGACAGAGCAGAGCTGCAGCCACGGGGCCATGGCCGTGCGGTCGCCCAGTCTGGCCCTTCTCTGCGCCCCGGCCGCCTGCAGCTGGCCAGCCCCGAGTGGGCGGTGGCGGCGGCCGCGGTGGAGCGGACCACACTGAGCATGCGCTGCCGGCCAATGTCCCGCCCCCTTCCTCTGGGTCCCGCCCCCAGTCTCAGTTCTTGAGGTCTGGTCCTCCCCCCCCCCAGCCTGCCCCGCCCCTCTTGACCACGCCCTTTCTGGTTACGCCCAAGCTGCCTCTGAGGCTCCGGCAACTGCAGGGGTTTTTTTTCCCCCCTCCCTTAAAGGATTTTTTTTTTAATCCAAAGGATTTGTCCAAATGATGACTTCTCCGTGCAAAAACTTGGAAGAACACAAAGAATATAATAATAGTAATTTTAATAATAATTTATTAAACACCTGCTATGTGCCAGGTCACTTCTTGTGTCCTCTCAACCACATGTCAGTGTCCATGTTTTAGGCGCAGAAAAGTTAGCATAACGTGGCAGTTAGAGCCACATTTACAGCTGGGACCTAGGACAAATGGCTTGCTCCATCCACAATGCTGTGCCCTCCCTCGTTAGCTGGAATGAAAAAGTACGAATTCTTAGCTGGGGAAGGTTCTGTCGGTTAACACATAGTACATCTATTATTAACTGACTTACTTGCATAAGGTCATACCGCTGATACCCAACAGACTTGCATTCAAATTCAGATCTGACTGCAAACAGTATTCTTAACCACTACACTAGTGCCAAACTTACCCCTGTGGAGTGGAGATTACTTCTGGAAGAGGAGGCTGAGATACTCAGAAAACTAGCAGCCAAAGATACACCTCAATCCTTCCTCCACTCTGCCTCATATCTGTGCACCTATCTAGCCCTTCCTCCTCCTCAGGCAGCTTCCTGAGGTTTTCTCTGCTTCCACTTTTTATTTTGGCCTCACTGGGGTTCGAACTCAGGGCCTCACGGTACTTGCCAGACAGTCCCTCTTACTGCTTGAGCCATTCCTTCAGCCCTTTTTGTGATGGGTTTTTTTCGAGACAGTGTCTCACAAACTATTTGCTTCAGGCTGGCTTTGAACCACGATCTCCTGAACTCTGCCTCCTGAGTAGCTACAATTATGGACATGAGCCAGTTCTGCTTCCACTCTTATCCCTGTGTACAGTATATTTCTTCATCTTATATTCAGAGAGAGCTAAAAAGGTAGATCAGACCACTGACTTTTCCTGATTAAAACTCTCCATTGGTGACGTTTATTCAAAGGCCATCTAAAATAAAATCCAGGGCTGGGATGTAGCTCGGTGGTACAGCGCTTGCCTAGCATACGTGAGGCCCTGGGTTCGATCCCAGCACCAAAAAAGAAAAGACAAAAAAAAAAAAACCTCGACCCTAAAATAAAATCCATCCAGGCCTCCTCATCTCCCACATCACCTCTTCTCTGCCTTTGATACCTGGCTCTGACAATACTGATCTCCCCTTTGACCCAATCTTGGTCTTCCTATCTCCTTTGTCTATTCAACAAGGCAACCTCCTCTGCCTAACTCCTTCTTGTCTTAGCCTGGCCTGAGCTCAGTTGCTGTTAACACAGCCTTCTGGCACTTACACTGGTGGCTCCCCACATACTGCCCCACTTTTGTACTTAAATTTCCACTCAAGCGACGTCGCCCCAGTTTTGCATGTTTCCCTTGTGGAGAAGAGGACTCTTCCTAGTAAGGTTGGCAGAAGTCTCAGAGTCTGGCTTCAAAGTACCTATCCCTGGAACCAAGGAGCAGAGCCAGCAGAGGCAGGCTGCTGCCTGGATACTGGCACTGTTACCATGGAGAGGGAGAATGGGCTCAGGGTTCCCCAAACAACAGCATCCACTACAGGACCCAGGTGCTGGGATTTCCTGACCAAGTGCACTGCTGGACAGAAGAGTTTTTTTTCATCTCACCACCTTCCCTTGCACTTGGTCTGCCTCTCTTGGTCATTCTGAAACCCCCACAGTGGGGACATCCAGGCTCAGGAATGCCACAGGCTGAGATGTGTTCAGGGCTAACAGGGTGTTGGTAAAATCCAAGGAAACCGTGAGTCTATTGATTCCTTAATCTACATGTGTTCCTGGCTAGATATGCTCCATAACTATTAACCAGTGCAATGCTGAAGTGCTTCTAATCAGTGTGGTAAAAATAGGCCTGCACATTTATTCCACTGCTTTCTTGGGACGTATTCCTAAAATTGGAATTACTGAATTAGGCACATTTTAAATTACCAAACTTCTCAGTCTCTTCATTGCCCTCTAATTGCTTCTCTGGTTACTAATGAGGTAGACCACGTTCCCAGATATTTATTAACCACTTGCACTTCTTCTCTTGTTCCAAGTTGGACCTGGGAAGGGGGAGAAGAGTGTTTGGGGCTTATGACAGAGGGAAAACCTTAGGGAAGGCATTAGGGAAAGGAAGGTGCTGCTCTCTGAGTTTTCCTCACATCACCGTGTGACCTTGCTCCCTTTTCTGTCACATCCACCCGCTGTTGAACTCCCATCACAGCTCACTGCAGAACCTGACAGACAGCCATGTCACCTACTGCAGAGTCCAGAGACTGCCCCACCTTTCTAAACCAGGATGAAACCCACAGAGGACGAAGGAAAAGGCTTGAGCACCCAGTCTAGAACACAGAGTGACATCCTTCAGGACCAGGACAAAGAGGCATGTTTACTTTCTAGGAAAGCCCTAAGCTTGTGTAGAGGTGGGAGGGGAACCACCTACATCAAAAGGTCAACTTTGGTCAGGAAATTAAGGCAATAAATTGGCATTTGGTTCATTCTGGGTTTTTCTTCCTCTCCTCCTTTTTATCCTGATCCTTCAGAATATTCTGGGATTACAAGAGGGGAGTGTAGGGGGAGGGGGGAGGGCATTCTATCTTGGATATTATGATAAAATGAGAGGGGCAGGCCCCCACATGGCCTCCGTGTACGATGGTTTCCTCCAAACAGCAGAAGGACACAGCTGTGCAGGTGAGCGGAGGATGAGAGGGGAGCCCTCCCTACAGGTAACACCTGCTCTCACCCACCAGGGCCAAGACTGCCTAAGGTCCTATCACAGTTTCTGTCTGACTCACTTCTCTGCCCTCTGTGCCTGGCACTCTGCTTGGCATACATCAGCAGGCGAGAAACTGCTATCTCTTTCCCTTGTTAGAATGAAGCTGAAGGTTTACCAGACAAAATGACCTTAAATAAGACGTTGATGGGCTGAAGATGCAGCTCTGTAGTAGGCACCTTGTTTAGCATGCCTGATCCCCTGCAAGAGGCAGGGGGGAGCTGTTGCTGAAATACCAATGTGTTTCCCCAATCCTCCAAGAATCTAACCAGATAAGAAAAACCCTTAATTACAAGGTTTGGCTTTTGTTAGGAGTCAAATTATCCCATGAAACATAAGAAAGGATAAAAAGATCATGGAAATAATCTGTGTCATGAATCATTTTTAGCCAAGACTAACTAAACACCATTTTAATGAACAAAGGTTGCAGTCAGTGAGCTGAAATCCTACTTTATTTTTGGTACTGTGATAAAGTAGTGCGTATAAGTTTTCTGTATAATGAAGTTGTTGAATATAAAGGGGGTGCCCTCACCCTCAAGCTGAGGTTGCAAGGTTCCCTAGGACCTTGGGGGAGCACATGTGGAGAACCCGCACCTGCTTGCCCAGCACAACCTCTGTCGGAACTCCCAAGACCGCGCTGTTGCTGGGGTGTCAGTCCCCACCTAAGGCAGTCTTGGCTCCAAAAGGGTAGGTGTCATCATCCCCACTTCAGAATTGACTCAGAGAAAGGAAGTCTGTCCGCGGTTACAAGCCGGGTCGCCTGCCCTGGGCGGGAGTCCCCGGACCCGGATTCCTCGGACCCCTCCAGACTTCCTTCCAGAGCCCCCCCCCCCCGGTCTTCGCGCCGCGGGGTCCGCCCAGAGACCCCGGACCAGAGTGGACAGAAGGTCTGGGGCGGGACCACCCTACCCGGCGCCCCAGAATCCCAAGACTCGGACACCAAAGGACAGGAGCCGGGGCGCGCCCGCAGCCGCTGCACGGAGATCACGGCGCCACCGCCACTTGGCACTTTTGCGGGAGGAAATGAAGCACCTGGCGTCTCGTCTCCATGGCGACCGCGAGGGGGCGCGCGCAGTCCAGGTGCGCGATCTCGGGAGGATCCTGCATTTGCCATTGCCAGGGAACATCCTTGTAGCCACAGAGCCCCCAGGGCAGGTGCAAGGAATCAGCTTTGCCCAGAGGGACAAGCTTAGCACAAGTTTTAGGGGAAGTAGGGTTCAGGAGGCCGTGAGAAAACAGGGTCAAACACTGGCTTTTAGCAGCCACGTGGTTTTAGGCAGCTCATCTTCTCAGCCGCAACAGGAGATGATGGGAATGCAGACCTCAGTGAGTTTTTGACAATCTAAAGTAATCAAATAGCCTTGAGTTGAGGCAGCCAGGCCTGAGGCAGGTAGAACCCACTTAGGAGCTGGGGAGATGGCCACCTGTCTCCTTCAGATGACACCTAGTTTGGAGCTGCACTAGCCTGGAAGGATCCGGGCCATACCCTGTTTATCATTCAACAACTATTTGAGGAATTCCTAGTCCTTATCAGTCACTAGGCCTGATAGTGAGGACCCCTGTGAACAACACAGACTCTGTCCCCAATAGAACACCATCCCAGCTGTCATAAAACCTACAAGGAAACATTCTTGGGGCAACACTGGTATTACCCAAATAGCCACGTGACCAGAGGAGAATTGCAGATAGACAATTTGCTCCTGAAGATGTGATATCTGGGCTGAGATTCCAAGAAAAAGAGTTACTGGGGAAGAAAAAAGGGGAACTGAGAGAGGAAAAGTGCTCTGGAAAGAAGGAATAGTATGTGCAAAGGCCCTGGGGCAGTAGGGAACATGGCAACTTCAAATAAACTGAGAAAGGCTAGTGTGGTTGAGAGCAGAGAAGTGTGTAGGAATGGTTTATGGTGGGTAGAGAAGCAGGCAAGCAGACTTTATGCCCCGCTTCTTTCTTTCATTATTTTAACATTTACTTACATGGGTATA